ACCACTTCCACACATGGAGACCGCGTTCTCTGCCCAGGGCGGCGTCCAAGGCGGGCCGGTTTCCGAAACACAGACGCTTTTGCTCGTTTGCCTCGCCTCGTTTCCTGAGAGATGCGCGTCCCGTTCTCAGACCACTTCCATCACGAACTGCTGAGCTCGACTGCTCTGAAGTGGCCCGTTTAGCCCCCCCCCACACACCCCTTCCCTTCAGAAATAGATCAGAAACTCTTGCCTGGGTCGGGAGAGGCCAATGCGGGTGCACAGATCTTGTGGCCGATTTTGATGCAATGCCTTTGGGTCCCGTGTTCCTTTCTGGACCGATTCAAGACCCTTTGAAGCCTCTTGGTGGCCCTAAATAGCCTGAGCCACCTGCAGAGAAGAGACTTTCCTGCCGAGGAAGGAGTGACGTCTGGGGAAGAGGGAGATCCCTCCGGATGGAGTGGCTCTCTTCACTTCGCCCCATCGCCATTCTGGGTCATGAGGCAGCACCTCTTTCCTCTTTCTCCAAAATATGGTGAAGCAAACTGGGCCCTTCTACAACCTCCGAAAGGTCCCCAAAATAGGCACTGCCCACCGTTAAAATGAAAATACCCGAACAGGCCACTAATTTGATTTGTGGAAGCAGCCCGGCTGTGGTGGACACATCCTGCCTGTCTTGGCTGACTTGAGGGTGGCGGATGAAGACTTTGCCGGCGGTTTTGGTCTGTTGACCATGTGCTTTTTGGGCCTTGGGCAGGAAATGACTGGAATTCAGGATGGTGGCGGGCGGACACGTGGTTTCCAGGGAGCACCAGAATTTGTCAGCAAAGGGTGGATGTCTTGCCATCTTTTGATGTGCGTGGGTTGTCCCACGAAATGATTCTGGACTAGGATGCATGGTGGGAGGGGACGTGCTTCGAAAAGCCACGGCTTGGACTACATCTCCCAGAGAGAGTCCTTTTTCCCCAGCACCAACCTGTGGGATGAATGGGAGAAAGCCCACAGACAGACGGACACACACACACACCCCTTTGGTCTCCCATGAAAATGTGTGGGTGCGTCTACAGCTGTGAGCACGGAGGCTGGCCATTCCTATCCGACCTGTTCTCCTGGGCCGCTTTCTCCCAGTTTGCTGGTCAGGTTTTTAGGAAACTATCTGAAAGGCACCTGCTTTTCTGCCAGGACTGTTGGTACTGCTTATTATTTTATCCACCACTGTTTACAAAATCATATTTTGAAACTACACCCACGTTTCTTCTGCTTAAAAGTCCGAGGCAAACACCCACCCCTGAACTCAAGTTTGCAGGAGGGGAAAGACTGAGTAAAAATTACTCAGCTTAGGCAAAAGGGAAAGGCATGGAAAGGAGACAGGAGAGCAGTATTTTTATTTATTTATTTATGTAATTAGATTTCTGCCCCGCCCATCTAGATCAAAGGTCTACTCTGGGCAGTATAAAATGCCTAGTGTGGACAGAGCAACCAGGGCACCCCTTTCCCCCCCCAAGGGAAATACCACATTGCAAAATATCTGCTGGCTACTGGAAAGCACCAAGGAATTTAAGAAGTTGACCAGTCCATGCTTCGTAGACTGCAGCAAAGCCTTTGGCCATGTGCATCATGAAAAGCAATGTATCATGCTGAAAGCCATGGGTGTTCCTCAGAACTCAAGGGTCTTGGTGCATAGAACCTGTACTGTGTTCAAGAAACAAAAGTTAGGCCAAAATATGGAGAAACAGAATGGTTTACTGTAGGCAAAGGCGTCAGACAAGGGTGCATTTCATCCCCTAACCTGTTCAACCTGCATGCAGAATATATTATACGGAAAGCCAGACTAGCTGCAGATGAAGAAGGAGTGAAAACCAGTAGAAGAAAAAAATGGTTTCATTTGAAATATTTTCTTTCTTTCTTTAATGTATATTAAATAAATAAATAAAGCCACCTAGAATGGTCGCATAGACCAGATGGGCGGGATACAAATCAAATCAAATCAAATAAATAAATAAATAAATAATATGCCGCCCACACTAGTCAAAGGTCTCTGGGCGGCTTACAACATTTAAAATAACAATAAAAAGTCAAAACAATTAAAATACAATTAAATACAATTAAAATTGCCATCAGACCCACAGCTAATATTATTTCAATTAAAAGCCTTCTGGAACAGAAAGGTTATGACCTGGCGCCGAAATGTCATCAGCGTCGGTGCCAGACGAATCTCAGTCGGGAGGGCGTTCCATAGTCTGGGGGCAGCTGCCGAAAAGGCCCTTTGTCTGCAAGCCGTCCCTCTTACCTCCTTGAGGGACGGCTCTTTCAAAAGGGCCCCCTGGCTAGATCTTAACTGCCGGGTAGGTTCCTATGGAAGGAGGCGGTCCTTCAGGGATCCAGGGCCCAAGCCGTTTAGGGCTTTATATGTCAAAACAAGCACTTTGAATTGGGCCCGGACGGCAACTGGTAACCAATGTAAATTATACATAATCGGCTTGATATGTTCCCTGGCGGCCACACCCCTCCCCAGCCACGCAGCTCGATTCTGGACCAGCTGTAGTCGCCGGACCGTCTTCAAAGGCAGCCCCACGTAGAGCGCATTGCAATAATCTATACAAGACGTTACCAGTGCGTGTGTAACTGTCATGAGACTCCGCTCGTCCAGGTAGGGCCGCAGCTGGTACAATTTCCGCAGCTGAAGGAAGGCGCCAAGTCCACCTGGGCTTCCAGTGTTAGACTGGGGTCCAGGAGCACCCCCAAGATGCGGACCTTGTCCCTTAGGAAATATGGTGGTGGAAGAGAGCTTTGCGGATACTCTGGACTGCCATAAAGATGGACAAGTGAGTCCTAAACCAAGTCAAGCCTGAATTATCTCTGGAGACAAAAACCAAGTCAAGCGGGAATTATCTCTGGAGACAAAAAATGTTGAATGGGAGTCTGTTCTACTTTGGGCACATGAGAAAACAAGGTTCTCTGGGAAAGACAAGAATGCAAGGAAAGGCCGCAGGAAAAGAGGACGGCAAAATACAAGATGGGTTGGCAGACACCCACCTGAAGGAACCCCACGTTGAGTCTGCAAGAGCTGAGCAGGACAGGTGAGGACGGGACCTGCGGGAGGGGGGGCTCATTCCTCGCGGGTTGCCTTTTGCTGGAGCGACTTGACGGCTCCCAGCAAGAACGACAAGAAACCAGGGAGGGTTAGGCTGAGGAGGTGTGAACCCAGAACGACGGAAAGGATTTCTTCACACAGTGCGGCGTGTCAAGCAGGGGGATTCACTGTCACAAATTATAACAAAAGACTTTAAAATGGGACTGGACAAATTCATGAAGGCCTGGATGGCCATCAATTCCCTCTGAAGGCATTGGCCAAGACTCGCGGAAATCATTGGCAACTGGAACTCTTTTGTGATCATGGTGAGTGGTTTGAACAGAATTCCCCTTCTCTATTATATATTCCAATATATATATTTTTTTACTGTATGAACCATCAAGGGAGGGCCCTGGTCTTTCGCTCCCCCTTCTCACAAGCAACATGAAACTTCACGCCCGTTGACAGTAATGAAGATTTTAAGAAAATAGGGGGAAATAAGAGATTCACAGAAACATGTTTTCACAATAGAGCTATGCAAATGAGCCAAGGTTAAACATTTTCTCCGCTTAAAGTTCACGCTCGGCAGAACACCGTACACTGTTTCCAACCTTTTGAGTCATCACAAGAAGTCACTGGGGTTGTTTTTGCTTTATTTATTTCCTTCCAAGGAGCCATCAAGTATTTTCAGGAACACAGTACCATTAAAGGAACCAAAAAGAAGAGAAAGATAACCTCACACCATTTCCTTCACACTCCCATCCAGACCCCGGCTCTTCGTTTTTGCCTCGTCATGCTGTCACTAGAAAACTCAAAAGCTTCCCCAGGCCGGGAGCCTCTGCCAGCAAAACAGTGATCCTCCGGGGGAACTACTCCAGCTTCCGTTTTCATTTTGGCACAAGAGCGGGTTTTCCTTTTGAAAAAAAAAAAGTGGCAGACTGCGCGTGTGGCGGCCGTCTGGGGGTGGTGGTGCTCCCACGTGTCCCCCGAGCCTGCCTTCAACTCTCCTGCAATCCTCACTTCTATCCAGCCCTGCATGTCCTTTTCAGTGCTTTGGGCCTTCTGAACACACTCAGGACTCTTTGGCTCACCATTTTCTTCCCCCTTTTCTTTGGCTCCCAAAAAGCGTGGGGGCTCCCCTTAGCCGCCCCGGTGTCTTCCCCTTATCAGCAAGTGGAGCATCCCAGGCTTGCCCATAAGCTTAACCGAACAGGCCAAGAAAGGCCGAAGGTATTCACGAAGGCTTTCACAGCCAGGATCTAATGGTTGTTGTGGGTTTTCGGGCTCTTTGGCCGTGTTCTGAAGGTTGTTCTTCCTGACGTTTCGCCAGTCTCTGTGGCCATGGGCATCTTCAGAGATGCTGGTCCCAGAGCACAGAGTGCTGTCCTCTGAAGATGCCCATGGCCACAGAGACTGGCAAAACGTTAGGAAGAACAACCTTCAGAACAAGGCCAAAGAGCCTAAAAAACCCACAAACAACCAAAGGCCGAAGGGCTTGGGCTTTGAGGTGGACCAAGAAGTTCGGTGGCGAGAGCAGGGCTGGTTTCCGAGAGAAGCCATCAGGAGATGGACAGGAGCTGGGCACGAACACCAGTGCCTCCGGCCATGCCTCTCCCAGGGAGCGTCTCGCTTGCCACAATGCCATGGCAGGAGGGGGGAAAAAAAGACACACCCCCCCAAGGCATGCCCTGGGAGGCGTGAGGAGCTAGACCCTTGCCAAAGGCCGACGTGGGCCTCTTGGGGAAAATGCTCCGCAGAAGCTCCCCTCTCCCACTGGGACCTGCAACCCCGGCCCTGGCTGAATTGATCCGGGCACCTTTCCAGAAAGCCAACGAGCCCAGTCTTTTCCCCTTTCTTTTCTTGGTTTTTTTAAAAAAAACATTTTAAAGACATGATCCACCCTGCAAGACCCTCCCAGGCAACCGTGGAACTATGAGAAACAGAACAAGCCATAGAGCAGAATTTATTACATGTTTTCAGAAAACAAAAACGTACGGCCCAAACCGAGACTTTCAAAGCATCTTCCCATCATCCTCGGCTGCTGGCATCAGTTCTGGGGCTTTTGACAAGGTTGCCGTGAGAAGTCAAAACTGTTTCTGCGAGTACAGCAAGCCACGTTCTGGGGGGGGCTAAACAGCAGTCGTAAGGTCTCCCCACCCCAGTGGAAGCAAACGGCCCTGCCAGCCGCCCCTTCATCACATGGCTTTCTCCGGTCCCGAATGAGCCGAGTTGCTTGATGGATTTCAAAACCCGCCAATGCTCTTCTTCACCCCTGCACACCCTCTGACCACGCGGTCTGGCCGGCCGGAATGACCAGCTCCATGCCCGAGTGGGCACTGGTGAAGAGGCCCCGTGGAACAAAGGCCACCCTGGAAACAGCACCCCAACTCTGAAGCACTCCCGCAAGACGGGTCAGCGTGAAGGACAGGAGGGCAAGGCAACCGCTCCTCAAGGCTGCCTGGCGCGAAGAGTTTCTCGTGGACAGGAGGTGGCTGGGTTCGGAGAGCCGTGCCAAGAGGGGCCCTTCTCACAGGACAGAGGCAGCGGGAAGGGCACCGCCAGAGACGATGGCGCAGGGAAACGCCTCCCGCCACTGGGGAGGGGCCAAGCGAGAACGGCTGGTGGCCGGAGCCCAGGGTCTCGTGGTCTGCAATGGCTTCTTTAAAAAGGGCTCCAGCTGGCCCCACGTTCTGCCGGCGTCCCTGGGCTACTCGGATAACCCCCGAAGGGACCTGAAAAGGACAGTGGGACGCCATCTCTGTTTTCCTTTCAAAGGGGGGGTCCTGGCACAGCGTCAGGAATTCCCGGCCACTCACCGTCTTGTGCCAGGAAGCCCGAGGTCCGACTCTGAAGGCCACCAGGGAGGGAGGAGCGACCGAGGGGGATTCCCCGGACAGGCCGGGGGCGTTGACTGGGCCCCAAACCCGAGACCATTCATTACTCACTGCTGAAGAGCTCTCCCACCTTCTCTGCCCAGAAAGTGCCAGCTGCACCTCAGGACATTTGGTTCTCCAACTGGCTGGCGTGTTTTTCCATTCCGCCTGACCACCACACCCAGGTAAAGCGAGGGCATCCAGGGATACCCATCTACCATGGCAGGAGCAGGAGGGCAGGCATCGGCTGGTGCCGGTTTGCTTTGGTTGAGACTCTCAGCCGCCCACGCGGCAGGCGCTCTGGAAGGCCTCAGAGGGCATGGGCCGAATCTGGCCTCTCCCCAAACCCTTCCTGCATCTGGCCTGAGGATCCAACACACCGAATGGACCCACTTCCGGGAAGGGGGAAAAGAGAACGGCCGGAAAGCCACGTAACAGTCCAGCCACAGTTGCACAAGGGGTGCCGATGCTTGACTCGCTCCGCAAGGACCAGCAAAACGCACACTCTTGTAGAAAAGTACGGAGCGGCGGTGTGGCGTGCACAGAGACACTGCTAGAATTCGTCCAGAGGATGTTACAAAATAGTGCAAAAATATGGACACACAGAGAGAGACACATCTGTCTGAACAAGGCCAGATGTGAAATCCAGCCCAGACCACGGGTGGACCTGGTGCCCCATGGGGGCAGGATACACGCAAGGTGCTCCCAACAGGTGCTTTCTCTCTGCAACAACTTAAGAAGGGGATCCCTCTCTTTCTCTCAATCTCTCCCCCTCCCCCCCAAAAAAGAGCTCACGGAGGGCTACTCCCCACCCAGAGGTGACCCTTCCCGGCGAGCCTCCAGGGTTCTTCTGCCTCTAGGGGAGGATGCTGTGTGTGTGTGAGAGAGAGAGGGACGGATCCTGGACCCCGAAACTCTGGCTCCCGCGAGCCAATGGGGCCTCTGGCCCGCTCTTGCTTCTTGAGAAGGCTCCAGGGGCTAGCGGGCGTGGGATTCTGCTTGCCTACAAGAGGAGCAGGCAGCAGCGGAGGAGGAGGGGGGGGGAACGATGCCATCGCCGCCCTGGGCTTAGTCCTTTGAGGGAGCACAGCAGGCGGGACATGGCATCACATGGCAGTGGAGGAGGAAGGAGGGCCGGGGAAAGCCGTTTCCTTTTTTACCCCAGCAATAAAACTATTTTGAATATGCTCATTAAAATAATTATTTCTCTCTCTTTCTCTCTCTCTTGTTTTTTGTTTTTTTTTAAAAGAGACTCTCCTCCCTCCCAACCTGCAGGCAGTCCAAGCCGGCCTCGACAGGCTCCGTCTTGCGCACGGTCCTTTCCGTTGGAGCTGATGGAGCCACGATTTGTGGCAGGAGGAGGCCACAATCGTGAGAGGTGTAAAGCCATTAAAAACACCCCTCCTTGGGGTCTCAACGCTGCTGCTGCTGCTGTTGTCGTCTTTGTCGTCGTCCTCCTCCTCCTCCTCTGTCGCGCAGCTCGGCGGGCGGAACCCCCCAGAGGGGTGCTGGTGGAGGGGAGAGGGATCCGGAATAGGGATGGGAGGGAGAGGGGGAGGAAGAGGAAGAAGAAGAGGAAGGCTACTCCAGTCCCAGGATGTAGTTGATGCCCTGTACCAGTCCTATGATCACCGGCTGCCAGGCTACCAAGTAGCGCAGCCAGTCGAGGAGCTGCCCGTACATGACGTGCGGCCGTTCCCAGCTGGCAAAGCGAGCGTTAAAGAAGCCACAAGGAGTCCAAGGGCGGAGAGAACCAGAGCCTTCCCTGTGGGCACGTGGGCAGGCAGGCAGGTGCTCCTTCGTCCCCCGTGGGCAGAGCGGCTGGTGGCCCTGAGCAAGTCAGTCTCCTTCGTCCCCCATGGGCACAGCGGCTGGTGGCCCTGAGCAAGTCAGTCTTAAAAGCGAGCAGGTGCAGTTTGGCCTCAGCGGCCTTCAGAGACCGCAGCCTGCTTCCTCCGTTGGGACAGACGACAGCCTCACGCAAGCCCGGGGAGGGAGCCAATGGGAACCATTTCCCTCCGGAAACTGCTCTGTTCTGGGCAACCTAGAGGGTTCACTTTAATGGGCACAAGCAGTGGCGCTGTGTTGCCATGGCACACGCGCTGTGCCTGAATTGGGCTAACACACACCCTTTCCCTCCTCCTTTGAAGAACAGAGGCCTGTGGGATCTCCTGACTGTTCTGCACCCAAAAAATCCTACAGCAGAGAAGCAGAGCAGAGCGTGCTGCTTATCTACCGCCCCATCCCACTTAAAGCACTCTCTGGGTGGTTTACAATTCAGTTACGCAAGCTGCACAGGGCCCCCAAATGTGCTGGGTACTAATTTTACAAGACCTCAGAAGGATGGAAGGTTGAGTCAACCCTGAGCCCATCGGGATCAGAGTTAGGACATGAGCAAAGGCTTGACTGCACAACGGCAGGGGAGAGGTGCAGGCCTTCCACCCCCTGGGGCCAGCCCAACTGAACCCGAGCCGCCCTCCCTCCCTCCCTCCCTCTCCACCCTGCGGCTCTCCGAGCAGGCGGCGGGTGAAGGATACGGGTTGCTGAACATCCGCTTGAGGTCCACCTTCTCCTTGCAGTACGGACAGGTCTGTTTCTTCCCGACGATGCACCAGCCCCGGATGCAGAACTCATGGAAGCTGGAGGGGCAGCGAGTTGAGGAAGGGAAAACACACACACTCAGAGGCTCCAGGGGGTAAGTGCGAGGATGCAACCAGACAGACACAAAAAAAGGAGGAGGGAAGCCTGGGCTCCTGCAAGGCGGTCAATGAAAAGACTGGCTTGCTCACCAGTCCAGGGTTCCAATCTTGGCCTGAAAAGCCGGGCAAAACAAACCAGGCTCGTGGAGGTAGGGGTAGGGAGTGTGGCCTGCCTCTGGACCCCAGAAGGGCCACCCCACATTTTCCCCCAAGGAAAAGGAAAGGGGACCAAACATGGGCCACACCCTCTAGAATCCTGACAGGTCTCAAGGGGTCTCGAGGGTTCCCAGAGGCATCTGTTGGGGGCCACTGGGGGATCCAGGAAGCTGGGCTAGAGGGGCCCCTGGGCCTGATCCAGCACAGGGCTCCTCTTCTTAGGTTCGGTGGGGAGGCCTGGTTCCAGTGCAGGAGGGAAAAGCCCCCGAAGGGCTGAGCCACAGAAGGGGGGGGGACCTGGAAGACCCACCTACCCTTCTTTGTTCCTGCTGAAGGGGGGCTTGCCTCCCCCCCCCACAAAGTCTGAAATTTCCCTCGGAACCTCTGAGGAGGCCGACCTGCGGGCTTCCAGGATTGTACGGCAGGGAAAAGCACCCGGTTTTCCCTTCCCAGGCATGATCTCAGGCTGCTGGGGGGTGACTTCCTTAGCCGATTTGCCTTCCTCCCCCCCCGACCTCCCAAAGTAAAAAAACTCCAAAAGCTGCAGCCTGTCCTTCTGGTGTCTAGACCCTGGAGCTTCCCGGCGTGCCCGTGGGCCACCCTCTCACCCCGCCACCCACCCACCCACGACGGGCCTGAAGCCCTTCCCAGCCAACCTGCCCAAAGGATACACATGATTGCAGGAGAGACGGTAGGTGTTTTCGATGATCCCCTCTTCGTTCACGTCCACAAAGATCTGCTGGCCGCAGACGGCGCAGACGCTGTCCGAGAGGTGCTTCGTTGGCATCCCCGAGGCGCTGTAGAACTGCGCCAGGTCAGGAGGGAACGAGACGGGGCACTTTCAGTGACAATCAGAGAACTCTCCGGTCCATTTCGGGAATGCTCCAGGGCCCAGCTTTTTCAGGGGGGACCCAGGGATGGGCAGTGGGGGGGCTCAACGTGGGACCAGGAAGGGCTGCCTCCTGCACCACCGGCCATGAGAGCACAGGGCCAGGCGTGGGGTGGCCGTCCTCAGAGCTCATCCCCTGCAGGGTCCCCCGAAAGGCAGAGCACCCCCTGGCAACGTGCCTGCCCCACGGTGGCCCCACCACCCCTGCTGGTGGCCTCAGCCACAGCAAGAGGGAGGAGGGGCCGTCGGGGCGGACGGAAGGAGGCTGGTCAGGGACCCATCCGCAAACTGCCACGGCTCTGCCTCTGGAAACCTGGGCTGGGCTTGGCCTCCCACCCCGGCTGCCGCTGAGCCTGGCGTCGATTTTGTGTGTGTGTTTGTGTGTGTATGTGTGTGTGTGTGAGAGAAGGAGGGCAAACCTCCCCATCAATGAGGGAGCCATGGTGTTGGGCTGGACAGTGGCGCCCCCTGGAGACTTCTGGGGAAAGTTATGGCTCGTTTTCAGGCCGAGAGGGATAACGCTGGGTGATGGGGGAGATTGGGGGACCCCGAGAGCTGAACCACGGTCCCCTTTATTCTAAAAGGATGAGCGAGGCTCATGTCCCCCCCCACCTGGTCCCTGTTGAACCCCAAGATCCATGCCAGCTGGGGGATAATGGTAGCTGTTGCCCGTGACACTAGCAGGTCAAACGCTTTGGAAAGAAGGGTCACCGTTCGGAAGGGTGAAAAGTACCAACACGCAGGAAACAAACCCGTGCAGAGGAGGAGCCAGTGACTCTGAACCCTCTGTGAGGGGCAACGGGGAGACGGCCCTTGCCCCCTCCGGCAGCTAGCCATCAGGGGCCTCATCAGCATCTGACTCTACTGAGCATGGAAGCTGAGGCCTGGCCGAGTCCACAGGCCTTTGGCAGCCTCCTTCAGCCTGAATACCGAGAAGGGCTGCGCCTGACTTCTTCCCTTGCACCCTGGAGGGCCGAACCCCTTCTGCACAGATTCCCAATGGCCAGCCATCAACTGGGGTGGGGGGAGGGGGGAGGGCCTGGGTTCGAAAGGGCACATGTCAAAACAGGAAAGTGCCCCCCTGGAGCCCCAGGTTATTATTATTCGTTGGACCTCTATGCCGCATTTCTCCCAACAAGGGACCCAAATAGTAGACCGTTGGTCTAGATGGGCAGGATAAAAATCTAACAAATAAATAAACAAACAAATAAATTGCCCTTTCTCAACCAAAATCATTTCTGTCTGGTGACAGAGATCACCTCGGGGGGGGGGGGAGAAGGAGGTGGCCCGTGGCCCCACAAAGTCACGCTCCATCCACCCCACGAAAAACGTTCCCTCCGCAGAAGGGCCACCGGGGTGCCACTCCCGTGGGGCAGAAGAGGGAAGACCGTCGGGGCAGAGAGGGAGCGAGGGCAAGGCGTCCGGGAACTCTTCTTGAGCTCCCTTGGCAGGGCCCCGCCGCGCAGATCAGAGCCCCACTGGGCCCACAAAGCTGGATCCAGCCCAAGCCTCTCAGGGGGCAGCAACGGGCATCACTGCCACATCCCCCCCACCAGTGACAGCGCACCCTCACCCCTGGGGAAAAAAAATGGGACGAGACACACAGCCAGGCCGGGCCGGGCCGGGCCGGGGGTGGAATCCTGCTGGGCCCAAAGAGACAAAGGCCAACCCAAACCCACAGCTGCAAAAACCGCCCCGAGGGGCCGACGCGGCTCTCCCGCTGAGCTGGGACGGTTGCCCCGGCCGCTTCCCCTCGGCGGATCTTACCCCGATGGTGGAGGCCATGTAATCGGCACACATTTCTGCGAAGTCGCGCTCCAACACGCCGTAATAGAGGCCGTAGAACAGGAGAGAAATCCCGAAGTCCATCCCATCTTCCGGCTTGATTCTAGCGAGGGGCGGAAAGGGCCTCCGGTGAGCTCCCCCGACAGCCAATCCTCCAGGTGACCGTGACGGGCGCTCTGCTGAAGGTGCCCTCCCCCCAAAAAACCACCCCCTGTGGTTCCTCCAGCGCCAGCCGAGGGCAATGTCCAGCTGCAGGCGGCGGTCCTGACCCCAGAAAGACCCTTTCCCCTCTGGACAACCACTGCGGCCAGGTCACTGGAAGAGATGCAGGGCATCAGGCACAGCCAGGTCCCCCGGGAGGGGCAGGAGGCAGGTGGGCGGAGGGTCCCCCCCTATGCCCAGAGCCCAGGCGCCTTCGTGGCCAAGATGTCTAAGATTCAGTGGGCTCCGCTGCTGCCCTTTCTACGCCCCACGTTGTGCACACACACACACCCATTGACAGAGCCTCTCTGGGCCCAGCAGGTGCCACACTTCACACGTCAAGCATGGGATCCAAACGGCAGAGTTCTGTCATTCTGGACATTTCAGCTAAAAGATATTGAGCAGACAGCCCGGGGTCTGGCTGGGTGTTCCTGGCATCTCCAGAGTCCAGAGAGAAGCCGTGGAGGGGAGAAACCAGCCGACGGGACAGGCAGCCACCCAGAATCCTCTCCTAAGCCTAACCTAGTCTACTTCACGTCACACACAACCAAACCGACAGGGAGACTCCTGGCCCTCAAGGACTGAGGCGTCTTATTTTCGCTGTTTGCTTTTCTCCCAAATAAATAATAATAAAAAAAAACAGGACTCAAGGAGGTTTACATCATTCAAGACACAACATGAAAGCTGGAAACAGCAAATCATTCAAATATAAAGAAGAAATCAGCAACATTATTATCAAAAAATGTCAGGCAAAAGGTAAAAACAGATTTAGAAGCAACGAAATAAACACCCATCTTGTTTTAAAATCTCTCCTAGACCGCTGGTCACTCAAGAAAAGCTTGTCTGAAGAGAAAGGTCTTCACCCGCCTAGTGGAATGAGAAGCCAAGATGGGGCCAGTCATGGGGCTCCAGTGGCTGGGAGTTCCACAGTCTCTGGGAGCCGCCGCGAAGGCTCCCTCTCCCCCCCATTGGGCACACCTGCCATAACCTTCTCTGCACTCCCATTTGGGATCGGCCCAAAGGTCCATGAGATCCGAGCCGATGTCTTGCTTGGATGTCCGTGAGATTCCTGCACTCCCTCTTTGGAGAGAGGGAGCCAGGAAGCAGTCCCCTGGGGTGGGGAAAGCACCACCACCCCCGTGCTGGCTCGCAACCTCTAAGGAGGCCCAGGGCCCCACCCCACAGAGCTGGTGCCCCTCTCGGGTTGGGTGATGCCATCAGCTGGGAGTGGAAAACGCCTTTGGCTGACAATCCAGTCCCCTCCTCCTCCTCCTCCTCCTCGGCCACGTTGGCGCCACAGAAAGATGCTCTCTTGTCTGCCCACGCTTGTGCCACCAAAGGAGAGGGGGGGGCTTGTCAGCACGGGGGTTCAGGGACAGCCAGAGAGCAGGGAGAACATGCTGCCACACATTAATTAGCTCACCTGAATAATAAATTAAGACCAAAGAGGGTAAACATGACGGCCATGTACCCAACAATCCCGGTGGCGTAGCTGATCTTGTATATCAACAGGAACCATTTGTAAACCAACCTAAAGGTGGGGAATGGGGGGGGGAAGAGAAAAACAGGGGACACTCACATCTCAGAATTCAGCCCCACGTCTACCAAGGCACAGGAAGTTCTAAAAGGCTGCCTGTCAGCTAAGGCTCTAAAAGCAGCGGACTTCAATTGGATGAAAGTCTGTAACTCAGCTTTATTTTAACGGACTGGGGAAAAACATAAACTCATCTCGCTGGCTTGGGGAAGGACTGTAGCCCAAGAAAACCAGGCACAGGAAATGCAAACAGGGTGTGGGCTGTGTGCATACCAGGTTTTAAACAAGACGTGGGCTTTTTCCTTACTTCTGGCCGGACACAGGATGAATGACAGTGGCGTGCCACGGCCCCTAATGGGTGCAGGAGAGTCAAAATTGGCCCCCCGGCCCCCCAGGGTTGCCTGCCCCAGGCCTGGAGAGTCTAAGAATACAAGGGAGATTGTGGCCCCTCTCTCGCTCTCTCTCCGTTTCATCCCGGAGCCTCGAGGGGGGGCGGCTCACCTGGGCGTCGTCTGGACGAGAGGTTTCCGTGTTGCTCTGAAGGTGACGAAAGCGGTGACGGCTGAAAAGAAGATCCAGATCACGAGGAACCGCCACCAGTGCAGCTTGACTGTGAAGTAAAGGGGGACGACCCACATCTGGAAAAGCGTCACCATCTGGAACGAGAGGCACGTCTCAGCCGAGGCGAAGCCCAAAGGACAGACCCGACCTCCTGCCCTGCCCCACGGCAACCGGCTGCCAGACCGCAGCTCCCCAGCCCCCGAACCGTGAACCGCTCCCTCTCTTCTAGGCAAAGGCGGTGGTTAAAAGAATCCTCCTGCCAATCCACAAAATCATCCCCAGGGTCTCCAAGGCCCTCTTCATCCCACGGAGATCCTAAAAGCATCATCAAGAACCGGACCCCCCGCATACCCTTTGAAAGCAAAAGCAGGATACCAAGGCCACTAAGGGAGAAACGGAAGTGAATGAATATAAGCGTGACGGGGTGCCGTTGGGCCACGTGCTCAGGGCCGGGGTGGGGTGGGGGGTGCGTGGCTCCGGCCCTGCGTGAGAGGTCCAGCTGGCAAAACGTCCAAGAACGTCAGCCCGCCTGGGTGTGGCTCTCCATCGAGACGCGGTCCGGCCAGTCCTCCCTTCTCTTCCTTGGGCATGATGGGGCAGCTCCCCTCCGCCCCCTCGGCCCAGGACCCCACCTCTCTCTAGCCCGCAGCAACCAGCCTGGGCCCTCTCCGCTCCAGGGAAAGGCAGCTGCCCGCCAGCCCCTCCGGGTGGAGGCTAAAAGCATTTGGGGCAGGCCTGGGAGCACGTGCTAGAAATCCAACGTGTCTGTGACCTTTCTCC